ATGAAAATAGCATAAAAATAAAAAGAAATGTTCTATAGAAACGACAAATTGCGATATTATTTTATACAAATAAGCCTTACACTTGATAAATGTTGCCAACAAGAAGGGGAGGGACCATTTTAATATACTAAAGCAATAAAATGAAAATGTTCAGCTGACAAATGTAATCACTAAAAGTATTATTGCAGAAAAGAAAATGCTTAAATCCTATTTTATCTTGCTACTGAAACGGCTTAGTTGACGTCTGCATGTATGTAAATAAATTACACAATAAACTCAAAGATGACGTCACAATAGGTCCCCTAGCTTGCAACACATGGGGGGATGGGGGGGGGGGATGAATTCCCAATCTTTTGGATGCCGTTGGTCAGGACTGATCCGATTAATTAATATTCTGAAGTCTTGTATTTTCAGTCATTTATACAAGTGCACAGTTGATGTTTCAATACATTTTCAGATTTTATAGTTCCACGCACAATATAAGCGTTTTGCATCTGCATAAGTTTATATTGTAGACATTGTCGGTAATATTATGCATATAAAAACAAGGGCTCATATATATTTCACCTTGTAAAATTTATTTTTTACCCGTATATTCTACTTAAGATCATTCCAAATATATACCGGAGTTGTAATTTCTTATCTGTCGAGGATCCAGTGAAGTTAAAAGAAGACTGGAATGAGAAAGCGACAGAAAGGTAAAAAAAGAATTTCGGAGAAAAAAAAAAGCTGTATCGGATGAGGGGTTCACTTTTCAGCAAGGTTACCTGTCACTATATTCTTTCACCCCATTACGGCAGTGTATGTGTATCACACAATTTAATATAAGTATATACTATGGAACAAAATTATCTGTCAGTGTGGACAAGTCTGAAAACAAGTTATTTTTCAGGCACGAAGAATCAGGGACGCAGGGCCACTTCCCACATTTTTTCCAAACTTTGAAATTGACTACCCCCCCCCCCCCCTCTGTTTGCTGTAGCATAGGTAAAGTTTAGGGATGTAGGTATTTGGCGAAAAGAAATTGGTTGTTAAAAAAAAATTGTGAAAAAAGTTTGAACCTACCGAGACACGGGGTCTCGGTTTTTAAGGTATCATCCGAAAGACCGACAACTTTCACTTCAAAGTGCCGAGACGAAAGAACAGTTGCTACCTATTTTTTTATCGACTTAGGTCGGTTACAGACGTGATTCGAACACACTACCTTCCGATCACGGAGCGAGCGCTCTACCTGAAACGGATTGAGAAGCAGGCATAAAATTTAATGCGTATGATCTTTCTTTCCATAGGTTTGTTATCGAAGGCTTACATTACTTACTTAAAGATAGGCTCTCATATTGAGCGAAACTTCAAGCAACAGTATTTATCTTTTATTATATGTACGTATTTTAAAAAAAAAGATTGTAAAAGTGTTCTCCAAAGAAAGTAAATGTTTATACATGTTTATATTTATTTTATTTATTTATTTTTTTATTATTTATTTATTTATGTTTTTTTTTTTTTTTTGTTTTTTTTTTTTTTTTTTTTTTTTGAAAAGCTATTCTAAATTAGTGGAAAAAGCCTCAATAAGTTGCTAAAGAAATTGCAATAGAAAGTTGCCTATGCCAACTATCCAAGAGAAGTACTGCATCTCTACAATGTACATTGTACTAGTTTGTAAAGGGGAGGGGGTGATACTTGATTCGTGCATTTGAGAAGGACCATCCGGTGACATGTAAAATTATTAATCGAATGACAGTACTTTTTCATTTTTTTTTTTTTGAAACCTTTTCAGATGACGATAGAAACGTTTTATACACATTTTGTTTAGATAAATTCGTGAATGACGCTGCGACTCGTTGGAAAGGATGGGCTGGGGAATTTGCCCTTTCAATGTTATCTATTAATTAAAAATTCAAATACTTTTCGAAAATATCTTTAATACTTTCTCATAAAATTTTATAGGGAATCTGACATTCTATAAAATAGTGTTAAAAGTTTTAATGCAATCTTAAAAACAAATCAAGGAATTCGCATAAAAAAATAGTCTAGGTTTTAAAAATGAAACTCTTGTTTGAAGTAGAATAATCGAATACTTAAAATAAACGTGTTTTAAAATTATATAAATTAATCTTTCATTTAAAAAAAAATTGTACTTATATTGTCGGACCCAAAAACCAGAATGTTTGTCTGAGTCCGTTATTTAACCGATCGATGGGTCGAAAAAACGCATTTTGCCCGAGAACAGTACAAAGTCAATATATGTTTTGTTATACCTTTGTATCTTGTGCCAGATTCCATGATGTAAATTTACTTAAACAGCTGTTAAATCACTGCGGTTAAAACTGGTTAATTTCGTCACTGTCGAACATCAACGTATACAAATGAGATTTAGCTGATCCCACCCACAATTTTGACGTAAGCGGTCCAATTTCTCATCGACAGGTCAAATATCTTACTACGCGGCCAAACATCGATTTTTTTTTTATGACCGCTCAGTACAACATTGGAATGTATATAGATTTATATAGAAACCAATTTTTAAAGGTATAACAAAATTTTGTGTTGTAACCAATTTTTAAAGGTATAACAAAATTTTGTGTTGTACTCTGGAAATCTTCAGAATAAACACTGAAAATATTGTAGGGAGCAAATGTCAAAAGCGATTTGTGCATATGTGTATAAAAGATAGAAGCTGTATTCGAATGATTAAAACTCTATATCAGACAAGGGCGGTCTGTGAGAAAAGGGATTATCTGTAAAAATCTGAACAGAAACTTTGAGTTGGTAAAGTCATGGAAATAAAAAGGCTCTTTACAGTTGCTGATCTTGTAAATGCACAGTTACGCGGTAAAATAAAAAAAATAATTAAACATGGACAAACAAAATTAAATTATGCTACATGTCCTGGTACGATTGTTAGCAAAATAAATTAAATTTGTTAAAGAAACGTTCTTAATAATTGGCTATTGGACCAAATTGTGTGAAATGTAAAGGGGGATTTAAAAAAAACACCATGATGCAACGTTTTTTGACATTATAATGTAGCTCCTGGGTTACCAAACATGTTTATTCTAAAATTAAGTAAATTAATTTCTGTTAAATCGAATGGAATGAAACTTCACAGATCAACAAAATAAGTATTTTTTATAAATGTATGAAAAAATGTGTTCTTTTTTTAATATTTCTTGAGAGTAATATAACGAACTTTCCAACAAACCCTCGTATTTGCGTAGCGTCGCTAGGTTGACGTCATACGTCATTATGATAGTGTTATTTTCCAAATAAACTATCTGTATTCAGATTGCTTTGTCGGAAAATTGATTTGATATAATTACAAAAATTAAACTGAATTAAAAAGAGGACGTCTTAGATATGCTTCAAAAAAATCTTCGTCAGATTTGGGGACAGGGCCGATTTAGGTACATAACGTACTTTCTTCTTTATCGTGGGGAATGGTTGTGTATAAAATTGAAAAGTCGTAAATTTTTTAAGCTGTTGATTTTGGTAAAATGTGTAACTTTATGATACAAATGAAGAAGAATTTTATACATATTACTATTTCATTTCAAGCCTTCTTAGAACAGAATATACAACATATTTGTATTATTTATACCGGTACATATGTTTTTATTATTTTTTTTAGATCGATCACTGTTCGTTATCTTCATATTTTTAATGAATAGAAGTAACTATTGTTAATTGAAAATACGTCGCCGATATATCTAAATGTCGAGTTGAAGACCACTGCAATTAATATTGTTTTCTCTTCTCATGCCTCTTAGGAAAATAAAAGGTCGGCTAATAACGGAGCACAAATAGTGCCCATCGAAATTCCAACAGTTTGCGAAATTCCAACAGTTTGTTAGAATGCCTAGTCTTCGAAGTCTGTCACATATGTTTCATATTTTTATGTTTAACTTCTACAGAAGATAAGGGCCAACTAACATCTAAATTGTATGACAAACAAGATGACCAACTTTTCCATCGTCAACTCTCCCTATTTATGTAGTAATGCACCGCTATCAAGTGCATATGGTGTTTAATTACATCTTAAAAATTATTCAATACTCAAGAGCATTCTCCAGAGAACAATCAATTTTAAAACCAAGGCAGGCGGCTGACAGGTAAGTTGATGTTACAGGAATTTCAACAACCTCGTTTAAAGACAGCAATTCGTTTCTATGACCTTAAGCTTGTTACATTTAACAAATATAACCTATCATTTGGTCGTATTTTGGCTGACGAGTTTCATACCGACTGTTGGGATTTTGGTTTTATACCGAATTTGACTACGAAAAGTTCCATCTACCAGATCTACACATATGCCGGATGTGACCGGTTAACAGGGGATGCATACTCCTCCTAGCTATAGGCACCTGATTGCATATCCAGAATTTTCAGTGGTGCGTGTTTTGTGCCCTTTTCACAGATCTGTATTATTTGTTTATAGATCTTTTTTTGATAGATTACCGATCGTTATTTTCATACAGGGATTCAGATCACCTTTAAAATCATATCAGAGTGTATTGCACTATCCTCATTGGGAAACTTCCTCGGAGAAGATGTGGAAGAAATAAACCTTTTGTCAGAAAGTGATTTGTCCATGAAGTTCATGAGAATGTTACATTTGAAAAACAGAGGATACTTTTCGTTTTGTAAACAATGCTCTGCATCTATGATAAAATACATCTAAAACCGTTACCTCTCTAAGCTAAGGATGATTTTTTGGAAATGCATAAATAACTTGAAGATATAACTATAATTTTCCTAAAATGCAATGTAAAGTTTATATAAGAAAACCTTATTTATTCTTGTTTTATAAGTGTATATTCATGTTTAAAAGCTGACCGAATAAGATTTTGAAGACTATTTAGTATGCTGATTTGTCGCCTCAAGATCATGTAAATAGCCGTGAGGTATTAAACAAGGTAAAGAAACGCATGTCTGAAACATTATGCAGCAAGAACAATTTTTCAAACTGGTTTTAAACGATATTAATTTAATTTTCGTCAAGGACACACAATAATTTCGGGACACTAGTTTGCGATATGATTGTCTTAATTTTGATTCTGTTAACGTTGCTGTGTTCCTTTTGTCAGCCTGAGGGTATGTAAACACTATATTTTCTTCTGTTTTGAAAGCTATTAAATGTATAAACCTCTTCAAATGATTTTTTCACCTGTGTTATGATATAATCAGGAATGTATGTTATTACATATGACCCCAATATAAAAGTCGGCTATTTTATTTAGTGTTTTTCAGGACAGCTATGTAATTCACTTCTACAATCGGTACAAAAATATGTTTCAAATTATCTTACTTCTATTTCCGAAATAATAATATAATTTAAAACTTAAATGATTTGTTTTGGTTGTGCTACATACAGGAATGTGCCGTAATTTTACGGCAAAAAATGACGTCGCTCAAGTGTGAAGCTTAATGTAAACAATGACACATTAAAAGGAATAAAAAATAACTTGGTTGGAATTTACCATGCTTTGGGCACATACCATGGATCAGATAATTTAAACGAAGTAGATTATCGAGTAAACAAATAATATTTAAAATATTTTTAACGAAATATATTATTAAAAAACAATAATATCTAAAATATTTTTGCATGAATGTTTTTTGAAGAAAAATATTGAAATGCATATGTAGCAGTTTTAAAGTTTTGGTAGATGTAAGGGAAGGAAATTCCCTCGGAATTAATTTAATAAAATAAGACTTTGAAATGACAATTTAAAGAAAAATGAGGTTAATTTTGAAATTTAGAATAGTCTAGGATCTACTATATTTGTCACTTAGAGAAATTCTTCATTTTCATACCTCACCTATTCGAATATGTTTTCAAAATTGCACAATATCATTGTGGTTTAGAGGCTTTATTTTTATAAAAAGGCCCCTGACATGTTTCCACCATGGGTTACACACAACTTCACCAAGCATCGAACTATATGATATATGAACTGGTATTATCAAGGTGTTATTGTCTAAATTGGGGTATTTATTTTATTTCACTTCATCAATCGAAACTAGTCAGGAACGTTTAGTTTTTTAGAGATGAAATTAATCCTTTTCTCTCTCTTTTTTTTTTTCTTTTTTGATAAAAAAGGGTTAAATTAAATATGCAATTTTAAAAAAAAATTGAATTGGACCTTTAACAAGTGCCTTTTCTATAATGATTTTTACATTATATTTTGAAAACTGTAAATTGTCGTTTTAACTGCAGCAGAACTTATTTCAGATTTTATTTCTCGATGTGTCGCTATTAATTCAAATTCATTTAGTTTATATCTATTTGATTTGAGCACATTCGTAACACCCCATCTAAGATCAAATCTGTCCGATCTATACCTCAAATTACTAATTCTCCTTTTTTCCTTGAGAATATTTCCATATATATCGATCCAAAAAAATCTCGCATTATACGGTGGTTGCCATAGGACATAAGCTTGACATATTTTTTTCTAATTCGTTCCCACGAAAAAAAATTCGTTCGCACGGAATTTCCTTTAAATAAATCCTTCGTTATATCTTCGCAAGAATAAGCATGTACTAATTATGCTTTAAAGTGAGAGGGGGTCCAATCCATGGTGAAGTCTCCCTACATTGTATATGTGTTCAATTTTTTGTCATTTCATCTTTGATCCTCAATACTTCCTGATATGTATTCTTGTAAAAATATTACAATTTTACTTTTAGAATTTTTTTTGTCCTTGCAATATTCATTTCCGTTAATTAACTTTCTCCGTTGGTATGGCCTTGTACTGTTATACGACCGACGACATCCAAAATCAGAATTCAATGCTTAATTGTAAACAACTGATTCACGTGATTCTTTTGGTATTATTTTTTGTTTAATTTGTTTATTCTTTATGTTAGGTTCATAACTTATAAATCTTGAATCGTTTAAAGTGATAACGAATCCGCATCTGTGTAATGGTAATGCATTGTAATCATTACAATCTTTAAAGTAATGGGGTATTATGTGTCATGCACCCATTTTTCAATACCAAGTTATTGTAATGTAATGCATTATAAAATACCAGTAATGACTTTTACTTTTCAATTACATTTGAATTCCATTTAGCCTATTTTTTTATTATTATTTTATGAAATGATATACCTTTCTTCAATGAATTTGATTAAGAATTTTTAAAAATTAAAAATACATTCTTGAAATTAAAGTCTTGTTTCTTTTTTAAAGTGTTTATTAAATGGTCATCTATAAATACATTAAATGAATTTTTTAATATAAAATTATGAAATCAATTGAAGGAAGCTGGGTAAAAATTATCATGAATTTAATTAAAGAGATATCAGACCAGAGACATTTACTCAAACATGTACTTCAGTTCCAAAGATAGCTCAAAGCAAGTTTACCTGTTCACTTTATAGTCAGCTGTGACCACTTTTTAGCATAAAAACTAGAAGTATTGATTAGATATCACTTCACAAACTTTGCTGAAATGGACTAAAGTAGGATCCTGGATCAATATGATCTTCCAGAGGACAAAATTGAAAACTTTTAGGCAAAATGTAAACATTGCCCAGCATTTATTTCTGGATCATTGAGAGTCATCTCAAACTTCAAAACCCATTTCAAGGTAATTATGTCCTATAATTAGCTTCATCGACTATGCTGACTATTTATCTGTGCTAATATACTTGCTTGTCAATATATACTTCTGTGTACAGTGATATATTATCATGTTTTAAAAAATATATTATTCAAGTAAAACATACATAATCAAATATTTATTATTCATTCTAGAGGAAACACATAAAGAGGTACTGATAGCAGAAACTCAACAACAGAAGTCTGAAAGTGTGGTGACCAAATATTTTCCAGCATGTAGTGTCTGTGATCCTTTCCTGCTAAAATTTAAAGGGAAACACAAATCAGAAAATATAAGACACGATTATGAAGAAACACTTGCTCTGTTTGAAATTATGATAAGATCTGCACATTTGTTAATTAGCGACAATGCATCAACCATGGTGAAAGCATTCACATTTTATCTTCCTGGATATAACAATGAAAAAGGAGAAGTCTGAAGATGAATGCAAGGATGATGCTGATGATGATGATGATGCAGTAGACGAGGTTCCAGAAGAGGAATATGACGAGGATTTGAACATTTACTGAAACACTCAGGATGCTATGCTCCTACACGTAATCTATACTCATATACTATATTATACTATGCTCATACTCGTAGTCAAGGATGGACTAAAGGTCTGTACTCCACATTTGAAATCAGTAATTTCAAAAACTTCCTAAATTGTGAATCATGTGCAAAAGTCTATCCATGCAAGTATATAACTAGAGGATGAATCCGATTACAAGCTGTAAATGTAACAAGATGGAGCTTACAACTAAGAATAATTAAATCAGTCCTTAAAGTCCCTGATGAAAAACTGAACAAAATTGACACCTCTGTTAAACTGTCTACAGATTCTACATATGAAAGAAAACTCTTGCAAGAACTGTGTGCAATACTAGATCCCTAAATATGTTACTGTCTTTATAAAAGGAAACTTAAGTACAAGTCTAACAATACAAGTCACCTTGGGACTGAAGCACCAGATCAATCATTTGTCAGCAGTATACAACAACAAGATGATGATTACTTTTAAGAGTCTTCAATAAACACAAGACTGAATCCATTTGAAAATAATAATGACTTTAAAACATCAGCTATGCTAGATCCAAATTTGAAGTTGAGATGGTATGATGAGAATGAAGTCAACATTTTGACTGTTCTGCTGAAGAACACTATCGTTTCTCTTTCCTTTGAAGATAAATTTGAAGATGATATAGATGGGCAAGAAACAAAGTCTCCCCCTACTAGATTTCTTTAGCTATATGCCTGAGAGCAGTACTCCAAGTAAGAAACGACACCAGTCTGGAGCCACATAATCTCAGGTTGACCTAGGCCAGTACTTACCTGAACCATGTGTTGATATCACAGACGATTTCTCGAAATTTTGGAAAGAAAACCAAACCAGACTTCCCTTCCTGGCTAGTGCAGCAAAAAGCTTCTTGACCAATCTGGGAACATCTGCTCCTGTAGAAAGAGTTTTCACCGTTGCAGGCAAAGTTCTCATGCCAGAACGCTGTTCTCTGACTGACAATACTTTTGAAAATCTGATGATGATAAAATGCAACTATGATGTGTAAAATGACAAACATATCACTGTTATATTTATTTACAATCTGATTTAAAAGTTAACTGCAAACAATTTGTGTTCCGAAATTGTTTTTGTTTCTGTTTTTCTTGTAATGTGTAATGTAATTCATTACTCTAGCAAAGTAATTGTAATTTGATTAATTTCTGAGAATAAACAGAATTTTTTTAAAAATTCCATCAAGTACGCATGTTAAAACATGAAATAAAGGGTTTTTCGACAGGCTTATTGTCAACTGAAGTAGGTTGGCAGGAGTATTATCGATAGTATGTCCGTCTTGGGGCAACAAAGACACATCGTTTGCCACCTCTTTATTTGTAGGACATAGTATCACTCTTGTCACAATGTCAGCAACGTAATGACAGCCGACGAAATGCCTCCGTGTGGCAAAGAGTGATAACTCTGTAAGCATGTTTTCTCTGCGCTTCACGCTTAAGAATTTTACCGTTAAATTATGACACACTTCTGTATACTTTAGAAAAGCTATTCGAAATCTGAGTTTCAAAAATTAAAATAGGAGTCACAGAGCAAATACACATATATCATTGCATCTCTTTGAATATTACAGTTTAAAAAACATTTATGAACATATCAGACGCATTACGACTTTACTTACTTCTTGATATTGAAAATAATATGAACAAATCTGATAAGAAAAGTATATAATAGTGAACTTGAAATAGTCTGTGATAACAATTGCCTAATTCTATCCTATCTTTTTTAGAACATTTTGTTTTTGGACATTTCGGTCTGGATACGAACACTTACAATTATCATCTCCCTACAGTTGGAAATAACAATTTAACACTGGGGTGTACTTGCACAAAGTTTCAAAAAAATATTATTCCTTCGGTGACACTCCGATTTCTACAAAACAAAAGCACACACTGGAGATACATTTGCATGGCCAATGTAACAGGATTTTACTGGCTCAACAAGAATAAAACATCGGAATTTTTCTTTGCTAATCAACGATGTGGTTATCATGATCATTACGGAAACTCATTTTGCGGTTTGTGGCTTTATTATTTATTTACATTACGTACATGTTCGGTTGATCCAGACTTTACGCCTGTCTTCCAATGTTATTATACCGATGATGGAAGTATTTTCAAAAGCCATGAAATGAGGGTATTTTCGATAAAAGGTAGGTATACGAACTTGCATAACAATGCTTAGGTATGCACTGGTATCAGTTTCCTTACAATTCTTCATATTTTATCTATGCCTTACTGTTCAATATTCATATCTAGAGTTTCCAATGAGATACGGATTGTTGTTGCTTCACATATACATGTACATAAAGAAGCAACTGACTGTCGCTGAGGTTTAAATAGGGTTCACAACACTGTTCTGTTTTTATTGTCACTGGTAATTCAGTCAGTGATAATTATGATAAATACCAAGATCGTTGTGACAATGAAAAAGCTTTGATTGATATTTTAGTTGTTTTTTATTCCAATAAATAAAGTTATATGTAATAATTGACGAAGGTATGCGGGTATTTGATAGAAGAGATTTTAACATTTTGGTTTTAGCTCACCTGATCCTGAGCTGAAAGCTTAAGTGAGCTTTTCTGATAATATTTTGATCATTGCCTCTAGCCATCCTTCTTTTTCTATGTCTGTCTGTAAACTCTAAAAAAAATTCGACTTCTCAAGAACCACGGGCCAATTTCAATCAAGGAGAATCCGTGGGTAAAGAGGGTTTCAATTTTGTTCAAATAAACAGCTACACCCTTTCTCAAGAAAAGATAATTAAGAATCGGTGAAAATTTGTTTATCATCTTTTAAAGATCTTATTCTCGAGAACAACGGAGCCAGAAATATGAAACTTATATGAAAACATCCTGTTATCGTAATGAATCAATTCTTTTTCAAACCATGACCCCAGGGGTAGCATGGGGCCAAATTGGAGATCAAAAACTCTACATGGGAATATGAAGGGAAAAAATCTTTTCAAATCATTTCAAGAACAGCAAGGCCATTATTAGTCATATTAATACGAAAGCATCATCAGTTTGTTTAAATTCATATTTGTTCAAGGGGTCGGATTGGGATTCAATAAGGTAACAAAGTCTTTTTAAAGGAATATTTGAACAAAAAAAAAAAATCAAAGAGTAGCAGGACCATGGAAAACCATATTAATATACAAACATTCCTAAGTTGCGTGGACCCTTTTTAGTCCCCTACCGGTGAAATCGGAGGGGGCTTTAGGTTTCCTTTCAATTTGTCTGTCCGTCTGCTCTGGCCATCTGTTAGCCAGTCTTTCTCACTTGCTTGGTTTTTTCGGTCTTTTTTAACACTCTTATTGAGTTTATAACGATATTCAGTTGATTTCTGGTACGTGAGTTTTTACCTCTAGGTAATGAGCTACTGACCAAGATTGCATTAAGTTCCTCTCTTATGAATTTTGATAAAAATTACGACCCTTGCATAATTAATTTAATACACCTTCAAAAATGAATTCCCTTGGAGAATTGATTTTTAAGAGCAACCAGACAATCCATGTTAGTAGGTGACTAGTATTGCTTATACAATACTCTCAGAATGCTTGTGAGCTTTATTATTTTTTTTAATTTAAGGACGCTCTTGCGCTGGGGTAGGGCTAAATTTATCTATTGTATGTGAACAGGAATTTTTTTTTTAATCTTCTCCCTGGAGAATAGCAGGGTCATGTTAAAAATATTGATACTGAAGCAATCTAATGTGCGGATTTATGTTTCATTAAATATTAATCCCTTGAAGCTAGGTTAGGGTCGCAATATGAGGTTAAAATTTTTGATTGGAATAATGAAAGAAACATTTTCTTTGCTATCTTCGAAAAAAGAACAACAGGGCCAAGGTGATTCATTTGAACCTTGTTCATTTGCATTTACAGTTGAACTTCCGTATCTTGAACACAAATATATCGAATACCATGGATATGTCGAAGAGATTGGGAAGTCCAAACTTCGTATTCTTTTTTTACCTTCGATATCTCGAATCATCAGATATCGATATCTCGATGTTTTTCTCGGTCCCATCAAGTTCGAGATAACGAGGTTTGACTGCATTTTTTTAAAAATCATTGTCATTAGGAAATTTTTGTTCCGTTGATATGGTAAAGACCATGAAATTTGCCAGAGGAGTTTGTAGGAAACACCAAGTAATTCAGGGGTGTACATATACATTCTTAATTCTGTGTAGAACTCTTATTGCTGTTACAAAAACTCTTGAAATATATATATATATATATATATATATATACTAGATGAAATCCCGCGCAAGCGGGGGGAATTGAATTTATACTACTACCGACAGAAAATATATTGTAGTTTCTACTGACAGCCTACAGGCTTATAGCAGGAAGAAATACTTTGTTCAAAATCCTGCAGGAAGTAGATGTACGCCCCCCCCCCCCATTTGTGAAAATTTGAAAAAAAAACAATTTCATTAATTGGCGTTTATTGTGAAACCTGTTACACTATGTTATGGATATTGTACTTCAGATGCTCTTATTTCATTTCCCTCAAGGATAAAAGCAGCGAATATGCACATTTTACTTATAAATTGATTTGGGGGGGGGGGGTAAAAATTCACTGGTACTTGGGCCTTGCTTTATAAATATGTACGTACCTTATCGATATGTAAAAAATGTACTTTACTTTTTTACATACATGTATCAATAAGGTACATACGTATTTATAAACCAAGACTCAAGTACCTGTGTAAAAATTAGCTTTTAACGCCCTATGAATAGGCCGAGTATTTGATACAAAGGACTGTATTCAGAAAAATAACTGAAATATATTGATTAAAGCACAAATGTTTACAGTTTTGATTGTATTTGAACAATACCTTATTCACTATTTTCTCTTTTCATGTAAGCAAGTTTATTACGAAGTACAAATTGTACTTAGGGTTCGTTGCCACGATGCTCTCAGTGAGGATTTTACCGATAAATTTATTAGGAAAACCTACTACATATATGTTTTTAGTCTTTCGATATATAAATATATTCAAAACTTATAGTGTTATCAATGATTTACCATTATTTCAATGACCATTCACACAAAAGCTTTTTTTATATTCATGTAGCATAATAGCCTCGTTTTTTTTTAACATCGGGCTCGATGCTATATGATGTTCTAAAAGCTTCCGTCAATATTAAGATCGGTGAATGACGAAAATAATTTGCACATTTCCCTTTTTAATCGGGTATCACACCTTATCTCTTATATATCATTTAAATCAAGTTTTGATTGAATAATTCAGTGATGATGTTTTATGAAATAAATGAACGATTGCTTGTTGTCAGTGTCATTAAAAATTGCCAGTAACGTACGACCGGAAACGCCACCGTACTCATGTTTTTGCTATTCCATGGCTGTTTATAGAAAATGAGGGTAGACTTTTAATTTAATGCACGATACTAACTATCCGAGTGAAATCTAAATATAGTTTACGGACATCATCTTGTATCTAGTGTATTCTTAGAGGAGTTAGTATGAACTCTGGTGCATCCGTTTCGGAGTTTATTTGCAAAATTTATTAATTTATATATATATATATATATATATATATATATATATATATATATATATATATATATATATATATATATATATATATACCCTAAAGCCATGTCTATTTGATATCCAGCACAGAAATAGGCACATAATACGGTCAGTAGCGATTTCTTGTTGTTTTATAAAGATATTTTTTTAAAAGTATTTTTCAACCTTTAATTTTCTGAATCAAAATTGTGCAATTTTACACTCATACAAAAAGTGATCAAATTGAGATATTTGCACACAATAAAGAATGACTTTGAAATAATCTAATTGTATGAAAAGGATTTATTAAGTTATGCTGTCAGATTTCTATAAAAATACAGGTCAATCTCCAAAGATGTTGCAGGGTCCAACGATAATACGCGGTCGTACGAAAAACAATACAGAGCTTTATCGGGTAGGAGATGTCATACAGCTGCAGTGTGTTGGAGAAATTGAAAGTATAAATGGTATACCAAGTGAGGTAAATATCAATGTTCACTCAGTACAATATGTCATATGTTTGAATGTATTTTAAATGCAGTAAAGAATTGGGGGGGGGGGGCTTGTACGTGTGAGAGATAAGAAATAAAATATTGAAAATACGTGCTTATTACAAAAAAGATAACATTATAGGAAAGGCAAAAATATGTTACTATATATATAGGATCTCCCATGATTTGTAGTTGGATATGACATTTATCCAACGAGTTGTGTGTTTTTTATCCCCAAGCCTTGGCGAGGGGATAAAAAACACACAATGAGTTGGATAAAAGTCATATCCAACTACAAATCATGGGAGATTCTTTTTATCCCATTTTTAATACTTCACAACCAATGTTTTACACTGTTTTATATAGGACTCCACTTTATTTTACTTCATCACTCTAACGCAAAAACCATTGTGACGTCACAACTGTGGGTTATGAAAAAAATATCCAATGAGTCATATCCACTGGATAAAGGGGTAAACATGGGATAAAAATCTTTTATTGCTTTTTTGTCATAAAACTCTGCATCTTTTAGCTCTGTGTATGAAACATCGCCAGGTAATAGCTTAGTGGAAGTGCTGGTTATAATGTAGTTGTTCAGTTACATGTATGAAGTTTTCTTTTTCTTGTACTAAGACTTTTCAGAGGACGGAAAGCTTCAAATTAATGATAATTTACATAAGCAATAAAACTGACCAACTGAAGACCTACAACTTTCACTCCAAAGTACCATTGGTTATCTCTTGTGCTTAATGTAATGGTTGTGAAATGTTCGATTAAATATATATTAGGATTACTGAAAAGTCAATCATGTTTTAGCATCTATTGTGGCACGCCAAATTCATAAAAATGAGCTAAACATAGATTCATAGATGATAAACTTAGTTTATAGATTGTGAACTATAGTTTTCGAACCTTAGACTATAGTAAGAATTCGTTAACTATAGTTTTCATCTGTAAAACTATATTTAAAGGTTTTAACTATAATGGTTTACGAATGCTAATCTAAGTTTATCTGTCTGTAAATAAATGTTCTATGGTCGATACAATGACCTTGTCAGCAAATACAATTTATCATTGAGTCAAATGCTGACTGACGTTTTTCATACTAATTGTTAAGCCATTATTTACACACTGAATTGTCGACATATTTTTCCGTTATTTCCCGATCATGACAAGGAGCACACGGCGGGTGTGACCGGTCGGCAGAGGATGCTCACTCCTCCATGGCACCTGATCCCACCTCTGATGTTTGGAGGTCCGTGTTTGCTCTGCTCCTATTTTGTATTGTTTTATGGACTTTTGAGCTTGAATACTGTTCGTTATCACCATATATTTCATCTCAATAGATTTTGCTATTAAATATAGATTTTCTAATTTGAAACTATAATTTACATTCGTTAACTATAGTTGAGAGTTGTTAATCATAGTTTCACAAATCGTGAAACTATATTTATAAGATAAATTTTGTCTTATATTCGTTTATTATAAATTTCCATTGTAAAGTATGGTTAACTATCATATATGTTCATGAACGGAAGCTATGGTCGTAAACTAGAGGTTTTGAAAGATAAAATATGATTCACATTTGTCAATCATACTTTATCGTCATAAATTGTAATTCACACTCGTTAACTATAGTCAGGAGTTGTTAAATATAGTTTATGAATCTAAACACCTATTAACTGTAAACGATAGCTTTCAATTCAAAATCTCGCGGAATCAATAGCGAGAGGTAATAGAAAATGTGTGTAAGTTCTATATTATAAATAAAAAAGAAAAACAAATATTTCATGATATAAGCAGTATTAATTTCTCTTTTCGATAATCTTAAATACGTCTAGCTTTCAGCGATTCGTTTGATACTAGCAATTTTCAGTCATCTTTGTCTGATTAACAACGCTATACAAAGTTGGAAAGACGGCAGGGATAAAAGTCGGTGATTTACTTCATAAAGGTCATTGCTTATGAGGAAAAAAATGAACTCAAACCGTCATTCAAAGAGATTCTCTCGTTAAAATTGTGTTTCTCAAATGTACGACGATGTTTATCAGAATTCTGTGAATTCGGCGCCTTAAATATCTGTAAACTATAGTTTACAACCGTAAACTATAATTGACATTCGATAGCTATAGTTTAGAGTTGTAAACCATAGTTTACAAATCGTGAAACCGTATTTATCAGATAAACCATGTTCTGCAATTGCAATTGATTGTAATCAGTGTTAAGTATAGTTTACACTTGTAAAACGTAGATTAAGGCTTTAACAATGGTTTAGAGATGTGAAATATTTACAGTTCGTTTACTGTTTACGGTTCGTAAACTATAGCTTACATCGATAAACCTAGTTTATCAACTGTGAAACTATGTTTAGCTCATTTTTGTGAAGTTGGCATGCCGTAATCATTATTTAGGTAATTAATTGCAATGGTAACTCTGTACTACCTCTCAAATTTACCTAGGTTGCTTATTTTGTTTGAGGTATTTATTCAGTTATCATTGAAAGAGCAAAAATAACATCTACAGATGGCAATGACCTAAAATAGGGGAAACAGCAGATATTCGAAAGCAGAAAAAACATTGATAAGGAAACCCTCCGCTCTCAGAATGATGGAAGAGGAAATTTTGATCGATGTTTGTTAAAGAAAAATTAGCTACAGTTTCAAAATAAAAAAAACACATAGATTTATTTCAAGTTAGAAAATGCAAAGTGCATGAGAGAGAGAGATAGAAAGAGCTTTATTACCTAATATTTAGTAGTTTATTTTCTGTTATGTATTTTACTACAAAGCACCAGGCTAATTTGTTTCCTTTCAATAGCTATTCTTGTCTGAAAAAGTAAAGAGGTCATAAGAATAGTGCTCAAATCATTTTTTTTTTCGTTTAGTATTTTTTCTTTATCAATTTCTTCAAAGAATATCAAATGGTGCAAGAAAACCCCCAGTGGATTCAGAGAACTAAAATTACAAGAGCCTCCCCTCACCACTCCATTGTCTAGCAGCGAAGATGGTTGCACGCATGTTCAAAAATCTGAAATATTTTATCATTTGACACAAACGGATGAAGAACTGGAAATCATATGTATAGCAGGGGATAGACATAGCAGAGAATGTGGACAATTTGGTATTAGGTCAAACATTTTAATAAAAGCTAGGACTGAAGGTAAAATAAACGTTATTACATGTACATAGTATTTCACATAATATTTACCAAAACAATTAGGCAGCTTATTGTTAAACAATTTCTTAATTTTTTTTATTTTATTTTATTTTATTTTTTATTTTTTATTTTTTTTTTATTTATTTATTTATTTATTTATTTATTTATTTATTTTGAAAACAAAAATCTATTTTTAAATGATTCCTATATTAATTCTTCATTCATTATTAAGTTGATGGCATATGGAGAATGCCACCAATCATAATTTACGACAGCGATGGTCTTATTAATCCTCAGAATATTAGAACATATGGAACTGGCAAAATAATTTATCTCTTTTGCTCGGCTTCCATGGTGTCCACTTCTAAAGAGGAGGTAAACATTATGCTTTCCCATACGCGTTTTCCTTCAGGTTTTGTCGTCATAATGTATCCGAGCATGCATTAGGACTCATTTTAGGTAATGACCTGCTGTGTGAAAAAAGGAGAAAGCAATGAAAAGTGGACCAAAATTCGTCTTCAAGAAGATGAAATGTACATTACACTAAATAACAGTGCTGAAACTGTACAAATCAGCAGAATAACCTACCACGTGACAGAATACGACAATGTTGTTCACTTTCTGTGTGAAATGTCAACATCATCAATGAGCACATGTGGTTCTGGATCGAGGTCCATCAATCTACCAATTTATTTTAATTCAGGTAAGTTCTTTGTAGATTGAATTAATAATTCCTGATTGAATTCTTACGATTTATTTGAAATTTAGAAGCCAGCTTCTATTGGAATTATGGCGAATGGTTAAAAAAGTAGAAAGTGAGGAAGAGATGTATTTAGAAAGAAGATCCTTAAATGTTATATAATAAATATTGATTAAGTACACATAAAAAGTGTTCCAAAGCATAAGACTTTAATACTTTTTATTCCATAATTACACAATGACTAACACAAAAGAAAACGCTATAATTCATAAAATTAGTCGTAGAAGCATATATAGTAGTGAATATTTCTCCGTCAGGCGCCCGGCATAAGCAGTTAAAGACTTCCCATTTGAATATGACCTTTTCAAAAAGGAGGTCCTGTGTCACGATAGGCATTTACATGATAAAGAACCCTTGCTTCTAGGGCCATAAGCGCTATGCATATGCCAAAATTTGCACAATTTTTCTTAAATGAGGAACGTCTGTACAGAAGGGTATCGAAGGGTTTATAAAACAAAAAAAAAAAACATAATTATATACAATTCATAGAATAATCATAATGTAATCAAGTAATGGTTCTTGTTGTTAGATGTCATTCTATGTAGTTCGATATGTGTATCACGTGATTGAGAATATAGGTATTATGAAAATTAGAGTAAGACACTATATAACACCACGCACTATTCCCTCAGACAGACCTCAAGTAAGACACTATATAACACCACGCACTATTCCCTCAGACAGACCTCAAGTAAGACACTATATAACACCACGCACTATTCCCTCAGACAGACCTCAAGTAAGACACTATATAACACCACGCACTATTCCCTCAGACAGACCTCAAGTAAGACACTGTATAACACCACGCACTATTCCCTCAGACAGACCTCAAGTAAGACACTATATAACACCACGCACTATTCCCTCAGACAGACCTCAAGTAAGACACTATATAACACCACGCACTATTCCCTCAGACAGACCTCAAGTAAGACACTGTATAACACCACGCACTATTCCCTCAGACAGACCTCAAAGGTATACATGTACAGGTATGAAGTTATAGCACAATTAAGTTTCTTTTCCATTTATTTCTTTTCATTGATTCATAGTTTAAAGTTAATCAACTGGTTCATTTAAAATGATATTAATTTTGTGATATTTCTTGCTACATTAAGTGAATTGGGTGTAAAGTATGAACGTAAAGTATGCTGTGTGGATGCAGGAAGGGGTGTTGCCGGTGGGCAGGGTATTCTTATTCCTCCCAGTCACTGTTCACGATTCTTATTCTCTACTTGATTATTAAGCTTAAGATCCCTGTTCGTTATTTTCACCTTTCTCATTCACAAGACTGATTCTAATACCTGCATTTTAAAGCTCTTTTGCAAGAAATCAAAGCTTAAGGAAATAGAATGACCACTATCTTTTCAATCAAACAAACAATTACCTTCAGAAATAATAAAATATAAAAGTTAAACATCTAAACTGAAATTACACTCCACAGTTACAGGAACAGGAAATTCAGCCAAGGCGTCATACACCTGTAATCAAACAGATATATAATTTACATATCGACGCGTGTCTGCAGTAACAACGCAAAATGTAATAAACCGAGGCTATTGCTTTTTGCGTTATTATATTTTGCGTCAACATCAACGCGGAATGTAATAACGCAAAATGTAAAAAAAGAAGTTTTAGGATTATTACATTTTGCGTTATTACATTTAGTGTCGAGTTCAACGCAAAGTGTAATAACACGATTTAGATTATTACATTTTGCTTTGAGATTAAGCAAAATGCAATAATAAAAATGTAATAACATACTTTTTATTCAGTCAGGTTGAAAATAATTTTTCTTGACAATTAAGATTTTATACTGTTTTACAAATCACGTTCATTGCGGACCAGCAAAAAATAAAACTGCCTCTCTCTCTCTCTCTCTCTCTCTCTCTCTCTCTCTCTCTCTCTCTCTCTCATAATAATAATAATAAAAAAAATAATAAAATAGATAGTTTCTGCATTCGTACATGCATATCAAGAGCTTTTAATCGACCTATGGTTAATCTTTGGTAATTAAGAATACTAGCGATAGATATATGACACGGACTGTTTTATAAGATAGAAATGTCAATCAAAGTTAAATTAATGTTTTATAAGTATTCGATAAAAATGTTGAAAACAGTGTCAGAAAAAAATATACAATTAGATTTATTAATTTCCGTAAAAGTCGTAACGTTTGCTTCATAGTCATAGATCTGTCTATAAAGCGAGTTTCAATATTGTTACATGTTTAAAACAATTTTGTGATGTTTTGCGTTGAACACAATATATCAAATAATTATATTTTGTTTTATGACATTATTTATTACATTTTGCGTTGTCCTCAAAGCAAAAATTAAGCAAACGCAAAATGTAACAACCAAAAAGTACATTGTTACATTTTGCGTTAATCCCAACGCAAAATGTAATAACACAAAATGTAATAATTCAAAAATCGCGTTATTACATCTTGCGCTATAACATTTTGCGTTGATCTTGACGCAAATTGTAATAACGTAAAATGTAATAATACTGGTTTCTTACACTTTGCGTTGTTATTACATTTTGCGTTGTAACACAGCAGCTAGGCAACAATCGTGAAGACAAACCAGATAACTTCTAAAAATCATTTCAACAGACACATGAATGAAATATGAAGATAATGTAAAGTTATGTTGTATTGTTATATTGAACATTATATTTTGAGATGGCCCCTAAATGCTATTTATTGACTCGAGTTCACTTTACTTGTTTTATAGTTGTAAATTACGGGAAACTTGCATTTTACAATACTATAATATGCTCAGATACTATTTTTTAAAGTTGAATGTGTGTAATTTTATTTATTGCTAGACTATTGTAATGTCATATCTTACGTAATAGTTATGTTGAGGAAATTCGAACTGAAATGTCACACGTGCGTTTCATTTCATGGAAATCATTAAATATTTTAATTGACACACTTACTGATTCATTCCCAGGCTATATGATGCATTTTTTGTATTGTTAGGGTATATGCACTGTCTTAATTCCATTACTTGTACACTTTTTGAAAGAAGTTGTCAGCTACTTTTTTTAGTAGTTCATAGGTTGACCTTGACTTCCGGGTCAATTTGCTGTTTTTAGATTTCACCCCTATTAATATTCATGGCTCTTGTGAATTTCATGACGTTGACATTGTAAGTAAACAAAATAATATTTTTATCTTTATACATGAGATGTTGAATGAAAAGTAGTATTTAAATTGTATAATTTTATTTGTTTGAAAGTTTTAATAATGGAACTATGTTGCACGAGACATTTTCCGTTTACTGTAAACGAAATCTGTTCTTAGTAGACGAGTTTTTAGAGTTAATTGGTTAAACAGATTTTAACGGGGTATAAATAAGAGAATCCGTTAAGTTTTAGAGAAGCAAGTGGGGTTAGCATATTTTTTAAGATATAAGTTTATTTATTCATTTGGAATTTTACTGGGTAAAAACTAATTGAAATTGCTAAGAAATATTTTTAGGGATTTAGATTTGATCACATATTTCCATTATTTGGAAATTTGATCAAATAATTTGTTAATTATTGTGAATAACTTAACTTAATTAAAAGTCACATATTCTGAGTTACCTCTGAATCAGACTTTAGAAAAGTTGGGAATTTTATCAATTAAATTATTAATTAATCAAGTAATTTAAATAAAAGTTACATATTCTGCATTATCTCTGAATCAGACTTTACCAAAGTAGTGTTTGTGAATTTACTTGAGTTCTGATTTTATTTTGGGAGAAATTAAGAGACAAGGGAATTAATTTCATGTTATTTTGAAGAGGCTATTAATTTATTATCTTGTTAAAAGGGACTGTTGCACTAAATAAATTGTGGAACTTGAAGCAGACCCTTCTTTTTGTTTCTTTGGTACTTAGATGGTGTCAGAAAAAAATTGAATAATAAAAGAAATAAATCTAAACTTCAGTATTTGAACTGCACCATCCTGACAGACTCAGGCAGTTCAGAGTGTAGCTTCAGCACGTTACAATAACGAACAATAATCAAACTCAAAAGTCCAATGAACCAATGCAAATTTGGAGCAGAGCAAACACGGACCTCTAAAAATATCTTAGGTGGGATCAGGTGCCATGGAGTAATAAGCATACCTTATCGACCGTGTGCTCCTTAGCATGATTGAGCAATCCAAAAATCCGTAGACAATTCAAAGTGAAAATAATGGCCTAAAACTTTGTATAAAAACGTCGGTCAACATTCGATTTAACGTTAGATTGTATTTGCTGGCAAGGCCATTTCATCGATCATAGAATTTGCGAAATGTTGACTTTAAACGTGAATGACGATATCCTTGTAGCATTAACTTATTTGTCAATAGCTTGCCTCGTTTTAGAAGTTGTTCATACGTAGAGCATGCTCTTGCGTATCGAATCAATTAGGAAATACAAACTCCATATGAAGGTGATAATTGTATATTCTTACATAAATAAGGGAAGACGATAAAAAAGTTAAAGCCATCACGTTTATCATAAAGTTTGGTTGTTAGGGTACCATTAACGTCTTTTTCTAGTAAGACATCTAAATATAAAACAGATGTGTCAGACTCTGCGGTATTCTTTTTTTCGAGCTAGTTCAAAGGGATATATCGAATCAACGTAAGAATGAAAATGAATATTTATTGAAAAAACGTCGTCGATATATCTAAATGTTGAATTGAAGGCCACAACAAGAGAATTCTTCTTTTCATGTAGAAGTTTTAGAATACATTCTGCTTCATATGAATACAAAAATACGTCTGCTAATAACGGGGCGCAATTAGAACCTATGGGGATTCTTGAAAAGCTTTCCCTTTTTCTCTTTTTCACTCTCTTTCTTTTTTTCTGAGTATGAAAATACTCGGCCACTTTTTATCTTTTTTTTCTTTAAAGACAAAATTCAAAACAGAGCAGCGACTTCAAAGAACCAAGAGACTACTGCTGTTAGCGCCACAATGTTGCCGCTGAGCTCAACTGAACACCAAGAAAACAGTACTGCTATATCTACTTATTGTTTTTTATCTTCTTATTTTACATTGATTGTCAATCATTCTAAACATGATATTTAAAGCAAAAATTAATTGTTTAATAACTTTGATCTTCATTTTTTTCAAAATAGCATCTCTCTCTCTCTCTCTCTCTCTCTCTCTCTCTCTCTCTCTCTCTCTCTCTCTCTCTCTCTCTCTCATATATATATTATTTTGGCGTGGTGTATATCTAAAATGAAGTTACCATTTTATGTTTGAAAATATTTGATCTCAATAGCTTTTCAATGATACATGCATTTCTTCAAACTTAAGACGAAATTCCAAACAGAACAGCTACTTTGGAGAACAAAGTGACTACAACTGCTAGTCCAACAGTATCGCCACCGAGATCAACTGAACACCAAGGAAACAGTACTGTAATAGTTTTGGCTGCTTTGACGGTACTGCTGTGTGTCCTACTGACCTTAGTTGTTCTGTTTGTGTTTAAGACATATAGAAGAGGGGATACTACATTATTTGGTAGAATTTCATTATTTATTGATTGACTTTCATTAATACCTACATCATATTGACATGTTTCGTAATCACTTTGTCTTCAATTTCAACATTTTAAAATTAAACATGCCTAAAATATGCATCATTTCTTTTTTAGGTTTTATAATCAAGATTGAACGGTAGGTTTGTTTGTTTTTGTTTAAAGTCCCTCTCGAGAATTTTTCACTTATATTGCCACCGCTTGCCAGTGGAGGGCTGCAAATTTTGACCTGCACTCGACACTTACAGCCTTTGAGCAGCTAGGAATTTTTTTCGTGCCAGCACCTATTGCGACACGTGATCTACACGCTTTGTAGTTGGATTCGAACTCGCAACGTAAGGATCAACTCCTTACTCTGCAACTCTATAGCAGACGCTCTAACCACTGCGCCACGCGGGCGACTTGAACGGTAGGTAATTTCAAATTAAAATTGTAGGCTTTAGAAGGGGTAAAGTTTATTATTTTTTGTTTTAAAAAAAATTACAGCCCTCTATCGGCAATGGTGGCATCCAAATATGAGTTAAAAATTCTCGGAAAGGACGTTTATTAGATAAACATTCTACATTAATATTGGTTTTTAAATTCGAAATGTCTGTGATTTTTTTTAAAAACTGTATTTATAACAGTTCTTATACTTTTAACAACGGAAGAAAGCTATATATGATTTCAGAGAAAACAAGGAGACTGAATCGAGCTCTCCCTAAGTAATATGAGTCAGGAGTTTCATTATAAGGGTTTTGATTGTCCTTCAGTAATTTTTCCATTTAAGGTATTTTTAGAAATCTTTCATATTAAGTATTTCATGTTTACATATAATTGCAAAGATTAACAACGATTTTCATCTTTATATAATCCATCATAGTTTGACCAGGCATATTTTTATACCTTTTAGTTCCTTTAGTAGATATTTTGCTTAAAATCAGAGCAAAAATATGTCAGTTGACTTTGTGTTCGATATTCTCTTATATAAATAGCTTCAGGTAGAGGTTTGAGACGACTGTAAATTAAGGACTGTGGTTGATTGTTTATCAATACAACCAGGAACAAAAAAAATCATTTTAAAGCAGTTTAATTGAAAAGACAAAATAATAATAAAGATCACACACACGTACATTGTGTATCAGCTCAGATAAGCTCACATAATTTTGCTTTATCCAGTACATTCACTTATAGTACAGTATACACTTATTTCATGACTTTGAGGGGAACAGTCAATCTGTTGTCCCGAGGTAATGGGGAAGACATGGGAAACTGTTCCCCGAGGCCGAAGGCCGATGGCAACAGTTCCCCAGGTCTTCCCCATTATCAAGGACAATAGTTTGACTGTTTCCCGAGTTGTCATGAAATAAGTGTTTTATTACCTAACCTACTGTATAATTTCTTAACGTAATGATATAGACATAATAATCAAAGAATTTTCAAATACATCAACAAAAGTCTGTATTATTTCTTGAAACCAAACTAAACAAGATGAATATTAATCAAATTCTCACACCGATTGGTGTAAAATCAGAAAAAAGTAATGGGGATGATATTATCATGCACTAGTAAATTGGTGTATACATGTACATGTTTTATTTAGTAAACAAAATAATGACGACTTGAAGGATTGAATATAACACGCTGAGTCAGACGTTTAAGGCAAAGATCTATAATGAGTGAAAGGGGCCTATATTTCCCCCAAATCACCTCCGAAAAGGTGTTCTTGGCCTCTTTTTTGAAATGATATATGATATGAAATTGAATATATATTTCTATGGGTATTCGGATTACTTTTCCAATGATAATGTCAAATTGAATGCCATGAAATACTTCAATTTATGTATAATTCAATATTATCGTTGAAAAGTACGGGAAATTAATTATGACGTCATAATGGACCAGTTCAGCCATGTAACAGTTCATTCTGTGACCGGGTAAACAGTTTGACTGTTTCATGATTTGCAAAAATATTTTAATGAATCAGGAAACAGTTAAAAATGCCTAATTACAATTTATATAGTAGGTTAGGTAATAATAGCAAATGTTATGCATGTATATTGTCTCACCATAATCTCAGCTAGAAGCTCATGTGTACCTCTTTTATTTTTAAATATGATCACCTCAGAATTAAGTTGCTATAAGATACCTTGGTTTGATAATTTTAGGTTTTTGCCTTTGATTTCAAACGACATACTATTCTATTGCAATTTTCAACTACTTCCTTCTTTTAACAAGAAAATTTGCTAAAGCATGATGAACGGTGTTTTATTTGCATGATTTTTTTTAAATACAACCTGTATCCATAACACGTAGTATTTATTTTCTTATAAAAAATTAAGTTGAAATATAATATATGATCTATCCTTTCCATGTGTTATGATGATATATTAAAGTGCAATAAATCAAATCGGAATGTAATTTTTATTATCTCTTATTTATGCATTACTGGTTTTTAGTCAGATGAAATACTTTTTTCCAGGTCCAAATATTAGGAGCTGCAAAATAAGTGATGTTCAACAGGAGTATGAAGAACTGAATTTACAGAATATTCATGTATAGATTTCAAACTTTTTGACCAATTCAAATACTCTGTATTCATTTGTGTGGATGTTATTAACAGTTTTTGACTGTTTAACATCATAATCCATTTATATAGATGGCTTCAAATGTAATTCTGATTAATTTTACATAAAAAGGGGTCTGGAAATATCATTTTTGTAAACGAAATATATGGATAACGAACAGTATTCAAGCTCAAAAGTCCATTAAACAATACAAAATAGGAGCAGAGAAAACACGGACCTCCAAACATCAGAGGTAAGATCAGGTGCCGTGGAGGAGTGAGCATCCTCTGCCGACCGGTCACACCCGCCGTGTGCTCCTTGTCATGATCGGGAAATAACGGAAAAAATCCGTCGACAATTCAGTGTGTAAATAATGGCCTAACAATTAATATGGAAAACGTCAGTCAGCATTTGACTCAATGATAAATTGTATTTGCTGACAAGGTCATTGTATCGACCATAGAACTTACGAAATGATGGCTTTAAACGAGACAGCTGATATTCTTGTTTCATCAACTTGTGTGTCAATAATTTACCTCGTTTTGGAAATTGTACATACGTAGAGCATGCTCTTGCGTATCGAATCAACTGAGAGATATATACCCCGTATGCAGGTGGTGAAGGTATATTGCTGCATAAGTAAGGGAAGTTGACGATTGAAAAGTTAAAGTCATCACGTTTATCATAAAGCTTTGTTGTTAGATTACCATTAATGTCTTTTCAAGTAAAATATCCAAATATGAAACAGATGTGTTAGACTCTGTAGTATCTTTTATCTCAAGCTCACCGGGATATATCATATCGACATAAGAATGGAAATAGCCATTGTTAATTGTCAATACGTCGTCGTTATATCTAAATGTCGAGTTGAAAGCCACAGCAAGTGTTTTCTTCTTTTCATGTATAAGTTTTTGGACAAATTCTGTTTCATATGAATACAAAACAAGGACTGCTAATAACGGGGCACAATTGGTACCCATGTGAATTCCAATAGATTGTTGGCAGACCTGGTCTCATAAAACCACATAAATATTGTCAATCAGAAACTCAAGCATCTTTTTAATGTCAGAGTACCTGTGTGTACAATCAGAATGTTTTTTAACAAAATAATTTTGCAAATGATCAATGACAAAGGTAAGTAAATTTACGAGTTCCATTTTTATTGAAAAAACAGCTGTCAATGATATCAAAAAGCCTGGGCTTTAGTTGATCGTGGGGAATGGCTGTGTATAAAGTTGAAAAGTCGTAAGTTTCTAAGCTGTTGATTTTGGTAAAATCTTGTGATTTCAAATTTTCCAAAAGTTCCTTGGAATTTTTAAGTATCCACATCTGATTTACACCACTTCTCGAATATATTGTTGCACAGTACTCTTGAAGTTTCTCCTTCACCACTGTTAATATCTTAGTGAGGAGTAGAGAAAGAGGTATGGTTGAACATTTACTGGAACCCCCTATGTATCTTTGTTTGTAAGGATTTTTATGAAGCTTCGGAATCCAATATAGATATGGTAATTCGAATTCAATTTGGTTGTTTGGAATATTAAAAATATTCAAAACTGACATATGATTTGGAAGAATGTCTTCCCTAGAAAGGGAACTATGAATATAAGTTGGATTACCACTTGTAGAATAAATTCCAAGTTCCTCTAAAAAACATTTAATATAATAAGCCTTACAAACAAAGACACTGCTGTTACCTGCTTTGTCAGCAGGGACCAGTACGTGCTGACCATGTAATCTATCTAATTCTTTTTTCACCTCTGGATTACTGAATACAGAAGGACAGATGGTTCTCATATTGCCCTTCAATCTTTTAATGCGCGATTTTAACATACATCTGATACATTTAATCCATTCTGACAAAGTGTCGAGGTCTTCTTTTTGTAAACATGATTTAATGATGCAGTGTAACAACATAATTAAGAATGCAAAAATTATACAGGCGTTACGCAAATTCTAAATTTTGACTTTAGGTACTCAATTTAAACACGAATATAAGTTCGTTATTAATTTGAAATAAAAAAAAAAATAATAATACTGTAGAATCATCATTGTTCGTGGAGGACCAATGTTCTTGGATTTCGTGGGTCACCCTTACCCACGAATTTACATCCCCATGAACAATTTTTGTGACAACGTACTGATTAATTAAATCTACCAAATAAACGAGCTGCCCACGAAATTACATCGCCACAAACCAATAAAATTTTGCTTGCCCACGAACATTGACCCCCACGAATTTAATTGATTCCACAGTAACGTACAAAACCCGTAAGACATCCTCCCGATGACAAACACGTAACCAATTTATAAGCTTTTTTAGTAAATTTTAAATCACATGACGTGAGGAGATATCCTGTGGGAAATCATGTATTCTGTTTTAAATTAAACATTAGAAATAGTAATCGATACCGTCATGTGTACATTATGACTATTTTTCTCGAACACGTTTTTTCCCCAGGCATTGTCACAAATGACAAAAAGAAAGTAAAATGAATGCATATATATATATATATATATATATATATATATATATATATATATATATGTGTGTGTGTGTGTGTGTGTGTGTGTGTGTGTGTGTGTGTGTGTGTGTGTGTGTGTGTGTGCTTAATGTTCGATAAGTTGGTGAAAATGAAAATGTATTAATTTAATTTTTCAATTGACTGCAATTTTTCTATAAGTTTTATTTTTAATATTAATCTGCTTTTGGTCGTTGTATATAATTTTTTTTCCATGAGGACAGAACCTCATGTACATGTGGTTGGTTTACTGTGCACACTCTCCACGTATGACTTTTGCAAATTAAGTGAAGAAAAGAACCAGTTATTTGAATTTGTTGTTAACTTCCATGCTTAATTAATACACACACGATGTTTCACACCACTGTGTAATAGCTGCTGTACAGTGTATATCGCAATATCAATTTTAGATTAGTAGTTAGCATGGCACGTGTTACATGTATGTATGGCTGAATTTATGTGTGTTACAGGTATCATTCGCCATTATTTGCAGATGGTGGCATTTTTATTTTTTAGTATTTGAAATGATAAAAACTCTAGAAATAGATTTCAAATCAGTTAGTTTTTGTATTTTTTTTTTAAATTCTATACAATTCAGATTGAACAATGTTCGTGAAGACTATTTTTATATAAATGAACATACTCAATACTTGATCTTAAAATCAGCCTTTAAATGAAATATGAAGATAACAAACAGTATTCAATCTCGAAATTCCAAAGAAACGATACAAATTTGGAGCAGAGCAAACACGAACCTCAAAATTTAGAGGTGGGATCAGGTGCCATGGAGGAGTGGGCATCTCCTGCCGAAAGGTCACAACCGCCGTGTGCTCCTTGTCATGATCGAGAAAAAACCGGAAAATCCATAGACAGTTCAGTGTATAAATAATGGCCTAAAAATAAGTATGAAAAACGTCAGTGAGCATTTGACTCAGTGATAGGTTGTATGTGCTGACATGGTCATTATATCGACCATAAAACTTGCAAAATGATGATTTTGAACGAGATTGTTGATATCCTTGTTTCATCAACTTGTTTGTTAATAGCTTGCCTCGTTTTAGAAATTCTTCATACGTAGAGCATGCTCTTGCGTATCGATTCAACGGAGAGACATAAACCCCATATGCAGATGATAAGGGTATATTTCTACATAAGTAAGGGAAGTTGACGATTGAAAAGTTGAAGTCATCACTTTTATCATAAAGCTTTGTTGTTATGTTACAATTAATATCTTTTTCTAGTAAAATATCTAGATATGAAACAGGTGTGTCAGACTCTGTGGTATCTTTTATTTCAAACTCACTGGCATATATAGAGTAAACAAATGAATGGAAGTAACTACTGTTAATTGATAATGCGTCGTCGATATATTGAAATGTCGAGTTGAAACTGAAACTGATTTACAGAGTCTTGAATTATTGTTACAAAAACATTCTGTCCTAAGAATTTTTCTCAAATACAATTCGATAAACTATTGACAAATAACCAGCTGCATATCACTACAAGTTAAATTAAAGACAAAAATAAGTACAGTGCAGGGAAGTAATTTTGTTACAGTGTTGATTTCAATGCTTCCTTTGCTTGCTGATTAGAATGGGGGTTTTTTTGCTTGTTGATTAAATGCTAGTTGTCCTTATCCTGATGCTACCTTTGCTGTTTTATAATTAGGTCATTGCTACCGGAAGTAGCATCATGCTACCGAAAGTAGATAATTAATTTTTAGCATTGCAGATTTAAGCGATAAAAATGTCATATATAATCACTTATTGGTCTTTAAATCTTAATATTCTTAAAAATTTAACCAGTTTTCTCTCTCTGTTTTCAATTTTTTTTAATAGAAAAAAAACTCACTTATTTTCTGATGCTACTAGGTCAATGCTGATTTTAAGTAGGTCACTGCTAGTCATGCTAGTTCTTTCCTTTGCTTACTGATGCTGATCCTGGTAATGTTTTTTTTTTTTTTTAAATGCTGGTCCTGATGCTAGCTGGGTACTGATGCTTTTTTAGATTACGCTGATGCTGATTTATACATATAAAAAAAATAGTTCCTTGCACTGTATTTAAAAAGAAGCTTGTATGCGTATCTGTATATTGAAAGATATAATAGAAAAGATGAAAATGATTAACAGTGATCGATCTCATAAATCTTGCAAACCATGCGAATCCTGAGCAGGGACAAAACTAAGGGATTAGAATATACATGATATAGACGCTTCTTTCAGGAAAGAGGGATATCATTTATACCAGTAGATTTAATTATGAAATTTCTCACGAACAACAATTGACATCTGCTCGTTTATACTCGGACACTAATACTACAACTAATAATGAGATTATTGTTCACCTAGCCTGAAAGGCAAAGTTAATTACCGTCATGCTCCCATCACATTTAAGAATATTAATAAGAGTTCGACACGCTTAAAAAACGGTGAAACACTGAAATATAATCGATAAGTTTAAAATTACACGTTTGTTTTTAATTCCTCATTTATACAAAAGGTATATTTTTTTCATTAAATATGTGGGGTTAATTTCAAATGTCCTTTAATTCAGTAATTCAGAAATGCTTTGATGTGTAATATTTTCATAGAACCCCATGCTTAATACACTTTTTTATGCCC